TAAGAAAAATAAAAGTGGTTAGTTCTTTAAAAACCAGGTTAATAATATTAATATTACATTATGTATTTTTCAGATGTTTTTCGGGGTAGTAGGTGAACTTTTGACCGATATTCTAAAAAAATGCCATGAACCTTTTTAAATAAACCAATAACCTATATTCCTTCTATGCCAGTTTTTTTTTGATTTTTTTTTTGCCGAGTTGTTAAAAAAACTACAAGCTGTATGCTGTTAACGCGTAAGAAAATGGCCTTAAAAAAACAAAAATGACCAGATAATTGTAGTAATTAACGTATTAATTAATGTGCGAATTAGTATATTAAATGTTTTAAAAGTAAAAGTAATATTAAGTAATAGGTTAATTAGTATATTAATTGTTTATATAAATTGCGGTTAATTAAACTCGTGTACTTGTTTAAATAAATACAAGCTGTACATCGTTAAGGTATGAGAAATGTTTTAAAATGATAATTGTAGTCATTATCGTATTAATTAATATGTTAATTAGTATATTAATTGTTTTATATTAATTTAGGTTAGTCTAACCCTAACTTACTTAAATGTTTTTATTTTAGCATTTAAAATATATTTAAGAAAAATAAAAGTGGTTAGTTCTTTAAAAAGCAGGTTAATAATATTAATATTACATTATGTATTTAACAGATGTTTTTCGGGGTAGTAGGTGAACTTTTGACCGATATTCTAATGCAATGGACCTTTTTAAATATGCCAATGACCTCTATATTCCTTCTAGGCCAGTTATTTTTATTTATTTTTTTTTTGCTGAGTTGTTAAAAAATTACAATCTCTATGCTGTTGACGCGTAAGAAAATGGCTTTAAAAAAACAAAAATGACCAGATAATTGTAGTAATTAACGTATTAATTAATATGCGAATTAATTATATTGTTTTATATTGATTAAGGTTAGTTAAAACCGACATACCTCAGTAAGATTTTTATTTTTTTATTTTAGCCTTTGAAATATATTTAACAAAAAATATAAGAGGTGACCTCTTTTAAAACAAACTGACGGCTAACACTAGATAATGTACTTAACAGATGTTCTAACCGATGGCTTTTGATTTTAAACTAGATAAAACATAATATCTTGCAGTAAAACATTCCATCCACATATATGTGTGTTACATACAGATGTGATCATGTGATCTGTTTAAAAAAAGGAGCGGCTTATTTAAAAGCTGATGACGAAGCACCATTCCTTTGTTCAATGCCAATCTTTCAGTCTTTCGCGTGGTGGGTGACCTTTGGACCGATATACTAAAACTTAATCTGGAACTATTTAAAATATGTCTATGAACTTTTGTAAACTTTTCCATTGACCTGCATTCATCTAAAATGCAAATGACTTGCGAAATACACAATTGTCATTGGTTTTCTAGGTCTTGCATGAAATGGAAATTCACCGAACATGGAAATAATTTGTGACATACACTCCCTCATTGGTTCTGTTAGATGAACTTTATGCCGTCTGATCCGTATATGTAAATGACTTTGTTTCTGTGGTATATAACCACGATTCCATGAGACCTTCTTACCATTTTTCAAACTTGTGTATCAAAGGAATCCCTTCTATCCTTATAGATTTTTCATTCATTAGTTGTTTTTTTTTCAATAAGTGATGTACATATGATTTATTTTAATTTGTTAAAATCATTTACCGATTATTTGTAGATATTTTTTTTTAATTTGATGGAAAGTTTGCTTCTGTAGTCAAATGTTTGAAATTTGAACAATATTTCATCTGCTGATAGTTTTATATTTAATGAAAGGTTTTAATAAAATGTGGTGGTATGATGAATCTGTTCCAATATTTGAATTATGAAAATAGTATGACCAAGTTTCTATGACCGAAATATGTTCTTTATATAAATGGGTTTTATTTTCGTTACACAGTATTTTAGATTCGATTTATATATTATAGCGGTGGTCACAGTTATCTTGTATGGAGTTATGACATGTTTTAGCACCATGTAATTTAATATCTTTGAAACTAAAGAAAATGTCTTCTGTAAAGGCAATTTGGTGACTATGTTTAATTAACTCCAGTCTTTTAGTTGTGACATATGTTTTAATCATCAAAATAAAAGTCAAGCACCTTGGTGTTATTTGATATTCTTGAGAACCAAAGAATATGTCTTTGGCGTGGGAAAGTTTGGCATGTGTTATATAACCAGTGTCTTAGCTGTGTCAGATGGTTTAGCTATCAAATTACAAGGCAACACGACTTTGGTGTCATCTGATATTCTTGAGAATTGAAGAATGCGTCTGTTGCGTGGCAAAGTTTGACAGGCGTTTTTATTGCCAGTGCCTTAGCTGTGCCAGATGTTTAAAATGTTTTCAAAGTATTTGCTTTTTTTGACAAAAGATTTTGGACAAAGAAAATTTGATTTTGCTTAAGTAAATCCATCTTAATAAATGATGACTCCCAACACACACACGCATGCACAAACACACACTCGGTTCCCAACATGCACACATACACAGATTCGCCAACCACACTCATAGGCTGCCACACCCACACACAACCCTCCCAACACACACACAGTGCTCAACATGCACACATACACAGACACACCCACTACACTCATGGACTGCCACACTTACACACAACCCTCCCACCACACACGCTCTAATTGACTGGGACACCGACACACAATCACCCACAAATCATCTTAACTGTCAAATATAGAGAATGTAATTCAATGTTAAAAAAAACGTACTTACCTATACGTGGCACGAATTATATACCCGTCATAAAATGTACACATTTCCCAGCGCTTGGAAATATATGACACCATACTACACTGAAAAAAAACTTGTGTTAAAACAACACAAACTTGTGTTGTTTTCAACACAAGTTAGGTGTCTCTATTTAACAACACAAACTTGTGTTGAAACAACACAAACTTGTGTTAAATGTTGAAACAACACAAGACTTGTGTTAAAATTTACCAAACAACACAAACTTTTGTTGAAACTTGTGTGAAAATCTACACAATACTTGTGTCGAAACTTGTGTTGAAATTTCTGAAACTTGTGTTGAAATTTCTGAAACTTGTGTTGAAATTTCTGAAACTTGTGTGGTTTCATAAAAACTTGTGTATAACCACCAACAAAAACTTGTGTTTTATTTTCCCTCAATTTAGCAATCTTTCCCATGCAGCCCCCCACCCCTTTTGCTCTGTTTAACCTGTAAAGTTTGATAAATGAGGTAACAATAATTTTATTTGTTAAATTATCATTTATTCATAAAATGATAGGAAAAAGTAAATTAACACTACCAAATCAAAACTAAATAGACATCATTTGAAATGTTAACAGAAAAACAGATATAATTCTAATACTAATAAAAATTTTGTTATACTTTGCCCCCCTCCCCCCCCCCCCCACATCACAAAATACAAAATAGCTATTTAATTTTTTCTTTACCCGAAAACAAGAACTGAGAAAAGAAAGATCCCTACCCCATACCCCCAAAATATATTATTCAAATATATCTAAATTTAATAACATCCAAACCAAGCCCTAATTAGATTAATTATGCACTAAATTGAAATACTTTCAGAAACTGAAAAGTGCTACAAAGTCATATTACAAGTGATTTGTGAGGCATCTAGAAATAACTAGCATACACAGAAATCTAACAAAAGAAAAATGCACTATTTTGCAGGAGTAATAAAATGATGTAGAACCTTTTCCTCAAACAAAATGAATATTTTGTACATAAAAGGAGCAAAGCATCAAGATTACAGGATTGAAAAATAAAAAAATATCAGAGAAAATCGCAAACATTAAATAATATGTACAAAATATATATAAATAATCACAAGTCAAAAGCAAGGAGGAGCCACTGTGGTTCAGTGAGTGCATTGGCCGAGAAATTTCAACTGGATTTTCCGACATAGTTCCCACACGTCAGTAGTGTAGGACATGGCAAGGGATAATTGGGTATAAGCCCAGAATTGAAACTACCCCCACTGCGTTTACTTTAAAGAACCCTTGACAATTGAATTATCTGACTCAATGACAGACCCTTCTGATCCAATGTGCGTGTGTTAACCATTCGGCCCTCCTGGGTTCCCTTTAAACAACCCTTGACAGTTGAAATATTTGATATAAGAGTAGGTTGTAGGGCAGAATCACCATAATAACACAGAAAAGTAGGATATTAAACCCTATTTCATTTCATAAGCAAGGGAAAGTCACCTTAATGTAGGTCAAGGTTTTTTGTAATTCTGGGTATATTTGATCTACATTTGGTTTCTAGACTATGCCTATTAAATACTTTATGATTTCCGACCAAATTCTAAGTGATTTATATGTCACTTTACATTCTATATTATACATAAATTTCTGTAGAGAATTAAAATCTAATTGTGTTTGGGATGAATATTTAACAGTAAAAACAAAAAAAAATATTCAAAAATTGGGTCAAATGCATTCTTTTCCAGAATTATAAAATAAATTGATGCTTGGGATCTCTTGTTGTTATCATACATCAAATAATCTTTCAGCCTAAAAAATAAAAAGTAGGCAATAAGAATACTTTCTTACTATTTATGGTTCACAATGTTTAAATAAACAATTTATTTTGCCACATCGAGACTGAGTCTCTATTTTGTTTCATCTTTGGGTAACACTTATTGTGTCTTGTCCAGTAACAGACCCAGGTAGATTATTATATTTTATTTCCATCGACAACAAATTGGATATTACCTATTAAAATCTATTTGAAAAGTAAAATATTGTCCATTTTTATACTGCTATTTACTGTAAAAATACACATAGGGTCTATCACAACTTGAAGAAAATCAATGGATGTGATTGTCAAAAATCAAGAATGCCAAGACTTGAATAGGAGAGTCCTAGGCATTGCCCCAAGAAGAATAACTAGATTACCAATCAAGTGTATAGAACTAGTTGATGATTAAAAATACAAATATGTATGTTACTTACATTTTACCTGATTATCAAGCTCTATGAGAAAAAGTTTCCATAATATGAATAGCCATTTCCAACTGTCTTGATCTTTCTGATGTAGTTAACTGAGAAAAAAAACATACTATGTTTTAGTTGACTTAAATCGATTCAATATTTAAATAGACGAAAGTTTTAATTTAATTAAATTGTATTGTAATGTGTTGGTTTGCTTTGTCACAGATGAGACAAAATGAAAAAGGACAGCTGTCTAGTCATTCAGATTGAACAAAAAAACGTGGTCCCGTGTACACATAGGTGTGCATGTAAAAGATCCCCTGGCAGTTAGAATTTGATACAAGAGAAGGCCTTAAGGTCACGGTAACCGGCAAAATTTATCTCGTAGCACACTGTATGGCATATGCCCAACTTCATTAGCCCAGTCCTCCGTACTGCAATGTCTTACTGCAAACCCGCGACCTTAAAATATGCGAGCCAGTGTCTAACCCACTTGGCCACCGTGGTCCCCCACAGATGAGACAGTCATATCTACATGTATCTGGACATAAGTAAGATTCTGTTTGTGCACATACATGTACGTGTACAAATTTACTATACTAAACTGAATTTTAAATTTCAAAACAATAAAATGAAATGGAGGTTTATGTCACATCAGCTCCAACCGGGATATATTGTGCCAAACACATTATGGTGAGATTCTAAAATACCATAACAACAATCTTTTCTATTAGAATTGAACACTCACCCTCCAAAAACACCTATGAGAAAGCATAGGTGCTCAAATCACCATTTCTTCAGCTCTTTCTTTTTCCATATTTGGGTTTTTTGACTTATTTTATTATATGATCTTTGATTTGCTATGGCATCTAATATGGAAACTGAAAAATATGAATATGTGACATGTAATAAACATGTAAGATACCTTACCATATACAAACTGTGTGATATCTAAAACCATTTGAATCCCGAAGATCTCACCCAAGCCTTGAAAATCTGTTTTAATAACCCTTGTTTGTCATGTGACTGGACTGTCACAGTAATTAGAAGAGAGTCATGTGGTACCCGGGAGGTTGCGGGTTCGCTCCCAGTGTTGACCGAGAAAGCTCATTTGAATTTTTCAGCATGGATTCCATGCCTAGTCGTCATGGTGGCTAAGTGGGTAAGACGCTGGCTCGCTAGCCTGGAGGTCGGGTGTTCGATCCCTGCATTGGCCAAGAAAGTTCACCCAGATTTCCCGGCGTGGTTCCCCCTTGTCAGTGATGCAGGACGGAGGACCTGACAAGGACAGCTGTCTAGTCATTCGGATGAAATGAAAAATCGAGGTCCCGTGTACACGTTGGCGTGCACGTAAAAGATCCCTTGACAGTTGGAATTCGATACACCTCATAGCACACTGTGTGGTGTATGCCTGTCTTCATTAGCCCAGTTCGGAGCAAAACAGTAGGACGTTAAACCCCATTTCATTTCTAGTCGTTTCAATGGAACACAAAACCTGAGGTCCCATTGGCGTACATTTAAGCCGATAGTATGGTAGTTGGAATTTGTTGGCTGTAGCACCCGTGTCACAGTTCGACTGCTAGTTTGCGATACCCACTCGATATGAATGAGTGGTGATTGGCTAATGAATTCTAAAATCAGACGAATGCTTCGGCGAAGCGGACACACCACTCAAATACAATTCGGCCAAATATATCAAACATGTTTGATTCGGGCGTATGTCAGTGGATAAACTAGGTGAAGTTTAGCGCCAATTGATTCAGCCAAATCCTTTGGCTAGTTTATCCAGCACTGACGATTTAAGTTTGTACTTTCTTTATATGCAAATATCACATTTGAAAGAGGCTGTAAGCCTACTTTCTTTATATGCAAATATCTTATTTGAAATAGGCCATTATTATGTGATTCCCCACTTGAATGTGACTAGGAATAGGGTCGCCTGTCCAGCCTTGTGGGTTTTCTCCGGGTCCTCCGGTTTCCTCCCTTTGCTAAATACCCCTAGGGTGTATTCGAAACAGTGTTCCGGTGCAGAGAACGGACGGAGAATGGGTTCTTGTCGGACTTGAGCAGTCTGGAATGCGTTCACGAACACATTCCCGGTCTCAAATCCCACAGTACCTCATAGCTGGTGTGAGGGAGAACAAACATGGTCGACGTATCGATAACTGCTGAGAAAACAGCATCATGGGTGCATTTATTAATTTAAAAGTTTAATACCGTTCGAAAATTGGATGTAGTATGTGGCCAGTATAACATCAAGTAAGTTAGGTTGCCAGGCAACGAAACATATGCCCACAGCAGTTTAATCGTTTGCGCAGTCAACAGGGATTTTCGCATATTCATTCTTTTGTAGGTAATGTGGGCATTTACAAGAAAATTTCATACAAGATTATAATTTTCGTCGTTTGTGGGTTTACAAAGGTCGACGCATCGATAACTGCTGAGAAAACAGCATCATGGGTGCATTTATTAATTTAGAAGTTTAATACCGTTCGAAAATTGGATGTAGTATGTGGCCAGTATAACATGAAGTAAGTTAGGTTGCCAGGCAACGAAACATATGCCCACAGCAGTTTAATCGTTTGCGCAGTCAACAGGGATTGTCGCATATTCATTCTTTTGTAGGTAATGTGGGCATTTACAAGAAAATTTCATACAAGATTATAATTTTCGTCGTTTGTGGGTTTACAAAGGTTCTACAAACTGAAACAAGGGCCTTAATTGTTGAAATTTGACAGATTTTTTAGTTTTGTGTTTTACTAATTTAAATAATGCATACAATTTTCATACAAATCGGATGATAATTTTGTTGTTCGAGCGTTCACAAGGTTCGAAAAAGTGAAACAAGGGCCACAACTCTAGACATAATTCACAGAAATCGCAGAAATTTAATAGACGTCTTCGTTTCACTAATTTAAAAGATTCAAATGAATTTCACAAAGTGAAACAAGGGCCATAACTCCAGAAGAAACTAACAGAAATTATTGAAATTAAATAGGATTCATCTCATTAAAATAAACAACATATCAATTTTAAAATAATCAGTTCTGTAGACGACGGACAAACCTACGGACGAGGGCGTATCAAAAGGTGATGTAATCGTCATCCAAAGAATTGAAAAGGAGTAAAACGGTGTCATAATTTATCAAAATTATGCTTAATAGCGAAGTAAATACTAAACAAGTTATCGTAACAGATTGTATAAATTTAATTCATCTTGTTACCATGGATACCGTTCTCTCATGTTCGAGACTCATGAAAGTGTTTTCATGTTCTTCAGCCATTCTCGAACCTGCGCAAACACTGTTTCTAAAACACTCCTACGGTACGCGCAAGCAAATCATTCAAATAAAATTGAACAATATTAGCCTCGAAATTACCTAGCGCCAGTAAGTATAAAGGATCTATCCGACAAACACTAACAACAACTCTAGGTTGATTACATGTCATTTGGGACTCACGTCATTTGGGACTCAAAAAAATATGACCACGACATTTGGGACTCCGGTATACGACGTTTGGGACTTTGGTATACGTCGTTTGGGACTCGGGTTAACGACGTTTGGGACTCGGGATAATTTATTAGAAATAGGCCAATTCAAACAAAACACGAAAGAAAATATTTATTAACATGAAACACGTGGTTAGTAAAAGGCTCAACCAAACGATAAAACATTAGTTGCACTTACGGTTCTTTGATAATCATCGTTTCTCATAAAAGTTTTATATTTATTTAAAACGAATAATATGCTGATGAATTTATTTGAAAATGACCTACACAAAAAACAAAATAAATATTTACACGACATGCAATCTTTTTTTACAAGCCCCTAGAAATTGTTAACGATAATCCGTGAGCTGCACGTTGACATGCTTGTCGTAGATGGCAATACCAATTGATAAATTAGTGCGTACAAGGCAAAGTTTTTTTGTGGAAAATATAAGAAATGGCAACGATCAAAGCGGGATAATTAAAGCTGATTAACTGATAATCCCAATGTTATTACAGTATGTTCAAAGAAACCTAACGGTTCTTTGGTGGATGAGGAAAAATGTGAGTTGTCAATCATCGAGAATGGCGGCCGTGTGTTGATTGCAGTTATACCGTTTCACGAAAAAACATTAGCAGTGGTCGGTCAATCAAGCTCGTTTACTATTTATAACGCAAATTTTTCGTTTCGGTTAAAACAAAATATACGTCCATTTTAATTGGCCGAAGGATGTGTGATTAATAGAAATATGGCGGGCGGACAAACTGACCAAACAGTATATTTCGAGGTATTTGAGGTAAGCTAATTTAATATTATATCATAACTGCATGTGCATACTTGTGTTTCTGTGTGATTAAATATTCAAAAAATCATTCTTAGGATACAGCCTCGACACCAGTCAGCCCTGAATTGCAATGTTTGTTTTGTGTTCTGGGCGCCATTTTGAAAAAAACTGACATGACCTATATAATACAATCCAGCGATAGTGCAGTCAATTTCCTTTAAAAGGGAATCCGAATTTGTTAATTTTCTGCAATATCACTTTGGTGGTAGCGGACGTTAAATAAAGCTATTTCACGTACAAAGACCTACAATAAAATCCAGGTGAATTGGGAAAAATATTCATGTATTTTCTTGATGAAGAGTAGCTATTTCAATTTGTAAATGCCCAGTCATCTTAGACAAATAATAATTCCAACTTCAAATCAGTTGTATTTATTCAAATCATACTATGAATAATTGTATTTTTCCACTTGCATAATAATAAAAACTTGACTTTTATTATTTTATTTCTTCAGGCCAAGAACATGGAAAATTGGTAATTGCCTTGTATCACTGCTAACTACAAGGCACAGGGAGCCTTGGGCAGAAATGATAATAATATGGTTCTCAGATATGTTACTGTGTACAGACTGAACAAAAAATATATATACACTTGCTATTACATGTACATTATATCATTGGCAATAATAAGATCCAATTTTAGTTTTTAGTTACACACTGTTAACCACCAATAGATGAAAATAAATCATAAAATGTATTCAGCTCGACGTAAGACTTAATTAAATAGATACAGTTGGTTTAACTTGAATAGAAGTTTTAATTATCTATGCTGCATATATGCATATATCACCTTGCAGCTGAGTTGTGAAACGCACCGTCGGGGGATTTGTTGGGGCCTGTCTCCCCCAGAAAAATTTCTAGAAATTTCAAGTCGGTCTTGCCTGGCCGTGAATACGGCAACCTGAAAGTGGTCGATTTTAATGTAGACATCTGAACTCCAATCAACAAATCAATCAACCAGGCTGTTGTCGTTGCATTCACATGACACCACACGTGTCACCGATGAAACAAATATGCCTGAAACAAATGTCGCTGTTAGTGCGACCCATTTGTGACAATTTCAAGGTCCCAAATAATAGTCCTTTTTTACTATTAATAGTAATTCAATCAGTAAGTGCTATTTACCTTATAATAGTCGTCTTGGCTTTTACCCGACATTACACAAAACACCAATGGTAACTGTCGGGTGGTCTCTCCAGTCTTAATGAAGGCGTGTATGGACAACAGCTGAGACCATGGCTTGTTCACCACCCGAAAAGTTGCATCCATATACCAAGTTTTTGCGCGTGCGAGTAGTTGCATCGTCTATCAGTACAAAAAATGTGATGGCGCCTTTCCCCAACTTTTACTCTTTTTTGATAAAATCCCGGTGCACTATGATCGATGAAATCTTCGTCAAGCTAAAACAAAAAATAAATAAAAAAGTACATTTAAGTACATGTTAATAAATAAATAAAATTGTACATTTAATTACATGTTAATAAATTCTTATATACATGGGTATTTAATTGCATGAGTACTTACGCTTGACGACACGTCAGTGGGATCTTTTGGTCGCAGAGTCTGTCGGGTTCTTTATAGCGACCTTACAAGTGCTGCAATGGGTGGTCTGCTATGAATGGGTTCTTCTGCAGAACAGACACTGGATAAAACTCTCTCCGCTATTGAGGAACATGCCTTGGTAAAAACATTTCCTTTGGCTTCATGCTTTGCCTGTAATGATAAGATAAAACATATTAAACTACAAATATATTATTGGTTTATTTATATTTTATTTATTTATTTATATATTAAATTCATTTATTATTATAGAGTTAACTAGGTTAACTAGAGTTAATTATGCAGAATTAATATAACACAACATACACAGATGGCAATAGAATGAGACAGTATTCAGAAAAAGGGCGGAAGAAGACTACCTGTCCTACTTGATTCTAGGACATATATATAGCATGGACCTACTTGATTCGACCAATTTAATACAAGGAAATGAATGGCATAGTTTGTGTCAAGTGAATTTAGTGAACTTTAAACCCCATTTAGTATTTACTCGCCCTCTCTCTACAGAGATAAATACTTTTCGTGTTACATACAATAACAATTATTGGCCATTATTAAAAAAATATATTAAAAGGAAATGAAATTCTGTTACCTGTTTTTCTTTGTGTAGTACATGCTAACATCAATGACTGGAAAAAAAAATAACGAAACTGTAGAGAAACTTCTGAATCATTGAAAGTCTAATATTAGGCCTACACATTGATGACATTGATATAAAAAAAGGCTGATTTGTTTGTTGTTGTTTTTTTCTTTTACAGAAATAAGATTACATTTCAACTAAACAACTAACACAAAAGTTAGTATCTAGCTATAGTCCATGTCTGGATATACATTTCTCCTTTTGCCCGAACGTCTATAAAAATCAAAGATGGCGGCCAATAATTGCAACCGGGTATTACTATAAAATCAAGACAGATTCTTACCTGCGGGTCCTAGTCGGGGGTTTCTTGCAATTATAAGTATTTGAACAACGGTGTAGCGCCGATTAGCTAATAATAATTAAGCACGATTTCAGAAAAATTAAGACAGATTCATTAGATTGCTGAATTAGCGGAACACTTTTAGAACACATCAAAAAAATTTTCTTTGTGGCGCCATTATATAAATAGACTTCCGGTGCAGTCAGTGGCAGTAGTTCTAAATCTGACTGTTTTAAACGAAACGAATTATTATATACATAGAAGCAATATATACATGCTAAATTAAATACACGGTTTTATTTTTTGTAAAAATTTACAAACCTGCGGTCTGGTATTCTATGTGACCATTATTATTTTTTTTAAAATATCACGGCTAAAGCACCCTGTTGATGCTAACTTCACTACATCCATCTAACTGAATGTCGCTGATATAATATCAAAGAAAGAATTTGTCGCAATGACTAAAGTATAGATACTTCTTCTTAGTTAGTTGTATTTTACGTCCGCTTCCACCGAAGTGATATCGCAGACAAAATGTATAGATAACTTGGAGAACCATTATATCAATAAGTCGATTATGAGATACACGTGGATGATCAATTAAATTTGATTGGTTACTTTTCAGTTAACCAATACCGTCCAATTTCGATTACATCAACCAATTACATTATTAAGAGTTTTACTCATTTTTTTTGTTCATTGTACATTGAATCAATTTTCGAAAACACCAGGGTGCTGAAAATCACATGTACACTATATATTCATTTGATCTATCAGTTTATTGGGTCAATAAAAAAAGACAGACATTTTAACTTTACAGACAACTTAACATCAATTAACATTCAAGTCTGTCTGGCAATTGTCTGATTAATTGGTACTCACACCCTTCCAGTGAAGAACAGCATGTGATTTTCGAGATGTGAATTAAGCCCTTTATTACTTTTCTTAAAACTTGACGACTCCCGAATTCAGACTTTGTATGGAGTTTTTTTTTTTAAAAAGAAAACAAATCTTGGAAGGTACACATTACTTGTGTTAATGATATGAAAAAAACACAAGATTTTATAAATCGACACAAGTTTGTGTTAATGCAATGCAAAACAACACATAACTTGTGTAGATTAGTTTTAACACAAGTACTTGTGTTGAGATCCAACACAAGTGTTTTTTCAGTGTATAACAGATGTGCTTTAACTTTTTTCCTTTTTTCTTTTTTTTTTTTTTTTTTTTTTTGCTGTGTTCGAACTGTTAAAAAATTATGCCGTTAACGTATAAGAAATGTTATTTAAAATAAAAAGATAATTATAGCCAATTTTGTATTAAATAATATGTTAGCGTATTGATTGTTTTAAATAATAATAATGAGTATATTTATAATGCGCTATATCCATAAACCAAGTTTATGCTCAAAGCGCTTACAATTATTATCCCGGTCTCTAGGATACAGGTAAAGCCTGATTACCTATTTGAATATGTCAATATGAACTGTATATTCATACTCGACAGCTCCCATGCACACAGACCCACACACTGCCATACCAACGCACAGATGTTGGCACAGCATTTTTACAGTGAAATATAGAGGACGTAATTCTAATTGAGCAAAATGTAATAACTTTTGCTTTCTTTTCTATCGTCGTTTTACAGGTCGAATATATTTCCTCAAATACATACATATACATTTACGGGACGGAACAATGTATGCTGAACCCAACATGTAACACTCATCTAGAGTGTCTACCGGTGGTATAATCATGTTATAAGGGAGCACGAATCTTTACCAAATGACCCCACTACAACACATGGCGCGAATTATATCGTTTAAAATTACCCGTCACAAAATTTACACATTTGTCTTTGCTTTGAAAAATCTAACCAATCATAAACATGTATCCTACACGCATTATACGAATTATATGTTATCTCTTGAAATATGTAACCAATCATACATTTTTCTTGTAAATATGAATAAATTAATCAATAAATAAAATATACAAATTAGTTCAAGTCGGCAATTAGTATAATTCAAAAAGTTAGATGCCTTTCAGGACTTACATACTTAATTGATGATAACAGGTAGATTATAGATTTGCTTAAACGTAACATAGTTCGTATCACCAAATCGACTAATGATGACACACACCCCTTTCACACACACCAATCAACCAAAATATACAGCCTCACAAACACCCACCCACATCGCAGTGCACTTATTCACACATTATTTGTACATGTCAATCCCTTTGGCTGTATTACATTTTAACATATTCAATATCACAACACGATAATTGGTTTTATTGCTTATCTTTTGTAGTCGCCGCTGCAGTTTACTAACATTTTTTTCAATTTCAATTCTGTAATAAGACGAGAGAAAGTGCGACAGACACTTAGTCTGTGTCGTTTTACTAGTAACAGTGTGTGGATTCGGAGGTATAAAAAACTAACACAATATATATTTTCAAAGATATCTTTATATTATTCTATACATTACAGTCACAGAAATATAATGATAATAATGTACATTTGTAGAGCGCCTAATCCATCCAAAAGTACGCTAAAAGCGCAATGAGACAATAGTTATATACACAGTGAACAGAGAGTTCAATTCTCATTGCATTCTCGAAATAAGTGAGTCTTCAGCTGTGATTTAAAAGTAGTCAAAATATCACAGTTTGTGAGGTTTTCAGTGGTAAATCAACAAATATACAAAGAAAGAAGTCGTTAAAATGTTGAAACACAAATGATCATCGAATTAAAATTAAATTTAAAATAATATATATTTCGAAAACATCACAAAGAATACAGAATGGCAAAGTGTTTTTGTTATTTGTTGGTTTCGTCAAGTTTGATACCTATTAGTATTAGATAGAGTTTTTTTCAAGGGGTTTCGTAACGGACTTTGTTATCTTTCAATGACTTGTTGGCGAAGAATCTGCATTTTAAGCTTGTGTTCGTTTACGATCGAGTCTATTTTTGCATTTAACAGGTTCAACCGCAGGTTCTGCTCTGTCGTTACTTCACGTACACTCACTGGTTCGGAAATGACCGAGGGTGGGTAATGTTTGATTACATTCAAATCTGCGTTACACTCTGTATTTTTAGGGTAGCCACCTTCGTTACTGTCATTGTTCTGGATAGTTTCTGAAAAGAAGGATACATACAAATAAATTAATAAGAAATGGACAAACCAGCGTGTACACAATACGAATAATCTTGTTGTTGCAATGTATTATGAAGATAAAACGTTTCTATTGCTACCGATTGAGAATGGTCACAGACCCCAAAGATAATATAAATAAGCATGTTCGAGTCTATACGATACAAAAAATCAGTTTAAGTCTATATGATGATTGTTTTTAAACAGGCAACTTAAAATCTTTCATGTACAAACAAATATACACCGATCCGCCCAACAAACATTCCTTGGTTGTTGACTGTCATCTTATCATATTTTAAATCGTCGTTAATTACTTACCAAAAGATGCACCATTTTCTACTCGCTCAGTCAACCTTGGTTTCTTTCTTTTAATTGGCGTTTTCGTTAACTTCATTTCGTTTCTTTTAAGATAATGCCAGTAATTTTTTAAGTGAGCCCGCGTTCTAACAGTGAAAATTGGCTGTGCACAGAAACGTTTTTCAATTTCCTCCCAAGCCTGTTCTTTAAGAGCCACTGAATGTGTGTCCCTTCTGTTAGTACCAAGTATATGAAGGAATTCTTTTACTTCGTCCAGCAGGAATTTTTTCTC